TATTTGTAATATAAGAAATTAGAAACGAGAATGCTATAAAAATTTATGGTGTTGCGGATATTTGAGAATATGAAACTGTTGTTGAAAATATCTTGTAGAACAGTATATTATGCCTTATAAGAAATTGCTTTTCGCTCGAGTGTTCCAATGGCAGCTTAATGATATTGTGGTCCGATGTTAATAAGATCTTGAATATATATGAGAAGCATACTAAAACTTATAAATGACGAGATTGGTCTAGATATTTTGTTAAACATAAGAGTTTTCTATACAAGAACCTACGATTCGACCGATCGTTTCTGTGACAGCTTTATGATATAGTGGTCCGATCCGACAGGTCCCAGAACAAGACAGACATCCTATATAAAGTATCAAGACGATAGCTTTAAAACTTAGAGACTAGCTTGCATAGAAACACAGAAACGGACGGACAGACAGACTTACAAGCGGACATGACTATATCAACTCGGCTTGATCTAGAATATATATATACTTAATGGATTTGGAGATGACTCCTTCTATGCTTTATATATTTTATGACAAAATTAAAATTAAAATAATAGTTTTTACAGACTACCTTGCCGGAGTTAGTATGTGGGGGACTATATATATAATATTTTTCATGTCATAAACCGAAAAGAATATATACTTATATATTCAAAGGGACTTTCTCGACTTTCGCTTTGGGGCCTATTTAAAATGTGTAAGAAAAATCGTTTGTCATTTTCATTTCCTCCATAGCGTAGTTCTACTGTATTTGCACACGCCATTAAAAATATTGCTCAATCATGCGTTTTGTTTAAACAAAATTAACATTTAATAACATTCAATAATCAGACATGTAAAACAGGCAATTAAGTACTAAATCGCTAGAACAGCAATATAATCAAATGCACAAATCGTCTATATATATATATGTATATATATATGCATGTGTGTGTGTATGTATGTGCAAAATATGTATAGGTGTAAAGTGTTGATGAAAACAAAAACGCTGATTAACACATTTCACTTAAAAGCTAAGAATATGGGAATACTCGAATATGCGAAATAAATAAATGTATGTAAGACAAGCGGAGCGGGACGGCTTGGTAGCGAGCTCTATTTAATAAGGAAGTAAACCCAATGCCGATCAGTCCGGTATGCCCGAGGACAGCACCTTGTTCTGACCCGTACGAAAGATGCATTGGGATGCCGGCAATTGGCCAATCAAGAACTGACGCATTTGCTCCACAGCATGACGCGAATGGCCAGTGCCATGGAAGGCAATGGTGGCATCGCGACCCGCATGATCCATGATGATATCATCGCCGCCGGGATGTTCGCGCAAAAAGTGCGTCACATCGTAGACGCGATCGTAGATGACAATCCAGCAATCGTCGAAGCTGTCATTCGGGCGCATCGATCCTGCCTTTGGCCTTCTCCACGCTGGGCAGAATGATGACATCGCCCGTTTTGCCCGATTTGCTAACGGCAGCGAGTGGTCCAATGCGCAACGATTGCAGCAGATTTGTCAATGCCGATGCCATTTGCTTCCGGTAGTTGGTATATTTTGCATTCACTAGACGGTCCGAACTTTCGCTTTTTTTATTTATATATATATTTTTTTTTATTATCGCAACGACGTCACCCGCGTGCCAATTGGAGCGTCAAGTAGTCAAAGTCCCTCACTCTCTCTCTCGCTGAATGTGTCTCAGTCTTAGTTTTTGTTTTTTTTTTTTTTTTGGTTTTCAGTTTGGCTGGCCCACAACAGGTCCGGTCTAGTTGCAGCTCGTGTGGCTACTGGCGATCGAGTGTCGTTCGTGCCGTCGACTGTAATCGCTTTATAAGTGGCAACACGTGAATCTTGGGCTCGCAGCGAGCGCTGATAAGGCTTCCAGCCGCCGACCACAAGCTAGCGACGGGTGCCCAGACAAAATGTTACATATCTGTAGCTATAGCCAACTATTATTATTTATTTCATCAGCAATATTATGTGAATGTAGACCGAACAGTTTAGGTATTACAAACTTAGCAGGGAAATTCGGCAAAAATTAAAACGAAATTCGCATTCAATAAAATTACCAAAAAAAGAATCGAAGCGGAATTCGGTCAAACTTAAAAGGAAATTCGCATATACTATTGTGGAAGGGAAATTCGCTGTAAGCGAAATTTTCCCATATACCAAATTCTACATTGTGGAACAAAAATCGAAGGGCAATTTGGCCAATATTAATAGAAAATTGCATGTCGAAATTCAATCATTCGTAGTAAAGAAAGCCTATGAAAACTATAAACTAAGCGTAGAGAAAATCAGGAAAATTTATTCAATTTGAAGATAGAAATTAGAGGGATATTTACAAGTCACTAGTGACAGTAAAGGAGGCCTCTTAGCTGTTAATTCAGCTTTAGATCAATCTTATCAAATAATTTGGATGCCAGTTAATGAAAATTGGAAATTGTGCTGACAGCACAAGGCTTAAGCTCATAAACTTTGAAACATTGAGTCTTATCGCTTTGTACAATTGATTAATTGCGGGCAATAAAAGCTGCATTAAAATGATTTACATATCACATTTGTTTTCATTGACTTAACATTGCACAAGCATATATATAAATATACATGTATAAATTTATAAAAATAAAACGTCTTTGTGTTTACAAGATTTATATACTTTTTTTTTGAAAATGAGTAATGAAACATTTGCAGCGATAATACTTGTATGCATATAAGCATCTACACAAATGAACTGTGTCCAGATTATTAATTGAATATTATCGAAATTTTTCAAAATTGTGACGCGCGTCTAATGGGCAACAACCTTATAAGGTATATTAAAATAATATATATATGTATATAAGCTGAACGAAGGTGGAATTATTTTGAAAATTTACCAGCCTATTTTGTTACCTCGAAATTGCGTATTTAAAAAAGAGGCTCAAGTCGGCAGAGAAGATGTCGATATCGATTCTTATCGGGGAAAGTTATCGTTATCGGGAAAGCTATCCCGGGCACCAGAAGGAGGGGGAGACTTCAATGGGTTCAGTTTATAAAAAGTATAAAAACTTTTTCATTTAAAAGCTATTAATCTATATATTACAAAGTTGCCACACAGACAAATACAAAGCAATACGCAATTCAGCAAATTATTTAACAAAAATATTTGTAATAAAAAGATGCCACATTCTAGAAAATATTTTTGTAACGCGTAATGCTCGGGACATAAATATTTGCCCATAAATATACGCACATAGCTGACGCCGGTGCTGATAGTGTAAGAACCGAGTAAATTTGATATGTTGAGAAATCGAAATCAATGTTAAGATCAACAATTGTCAATCCAGTGCTGGGGCTTCAGCTGAGCAATTGAATAGAACCACAAAAGTTAGTGCGTAATTTTAATCAAAAGTTTGATGCGTACATCTCTTAAACTGGGTTACCCGACTTGACTTTGACTAGGAGGTCAGCATGTGCATGTTTGCCAACCGCAATCATATCATGTTTCGTGTTTGAACTTGAGATAATATAGAGCCAACCAAGCACTTAATAAGCATCCAACTTGTTCACAATCCCATCAAAATTGTTATATAATTGAATGACAGGCATTGCCACAGTTTTGGGTTTCGGGAATATGCGTCCACAAAAAAAGTGTTTGACAGAAGATAAGGCAGAGATTCGAGAGTAATCGACTCTGAAATACCCTGTTGGGGTATAGTTATAGAATATATAAGGTATATATATATATATATAATATTAACTTTGGTTCACCATCCGATCGGCCTCAAACTCATTTGAAAAGATCTTTGTCTAAGCTTGCTCATTGGATAGTCGATTCTAAGATAGTTTTTTGTTTACCGTCCGATCGGTTTAGGCCCGGGTATACCCGCTATTATCCTATATAGACATAGGTCATTATTTCCCACTGCCATAACTCGGTCAAATGTCATACGCTTTAGTCTATAAACTTATTCACAATCCTATCGAAATTATTTATAAAATAATGACAAGCAATTCACAGTGTTAGTTTTCGGGAATATTCGTGCCTCAAAGAAGTGTTTGAAGGTAGATAAGCCAGAGATTCTAGCGAAACCCTAGATTCTGTGAAACCCTGTTTATATATAACATAGCATATATGTTTTTTCTTTGACGTATACGGGGTAAAGTTGGTACCGTGCATAGATTATGTAGTCTTATCAAAACCTGCGAACAATGAAATTTACATGCAGGCCATTGTTCCGATTTAATGACAACGCATTTTTTTCAAGTTCATTCTTTCTTGTTAATAATATACTGCACTTTCTTGATAATGCACAAATCTTTACTGCAGCTTATTCAGAAAAAATGCATATTTATATTTATAAAAATAAAAGTTAATATTACTACTCTTCACTCGATTTATATTGTTAAATTATTTTTATTAATAACATTAAATTCATTTTATTGAGATTTTAAAACAAAATATTGTGTCCCGGTGGCAACGCCAAAAGTAACAGTAAACAAAGGAGCTTTTCGGCTTGTGCTTGTACCGTCAGTTAGTTGACATTGAATTGCTTTGGCCGTGAGCGAGCTTTTGACTAATGTGACAGCTGTTGCTTATGCGCAAAGCTTTTGCCCAAAACTTTTGATACGCGCAGCAAACGTTGCATATTTATTGGTTTTGAAATAAAATGCCGGCTCTTGGTGAGAGATTAAAAAAAACTAATATTCAAACAATATATATGAAATTATTTAACTATAAATTAACTTTTTACGTCTTCAAAACTGATCTAATATATGAAAACGTTCAACATGCTAATATGTAGCTTGCATTTTAGGAAGCGAAACTTTCTGGTTAAGTTGATGTGTGTGCGTGTGTGTGTGTATGTGTGTGTGTGTGTGTGTGTCTGTGCTTGTATGAGGGAATGCGGCTAAAGGCAACTGCGTGTAAAATTTTGGCGAACAACAACACAGTCGAGTTTCAGCAACGCGTTAGCCAAGTTGTTGCTGCTCTCAAGTCGCATCCGCTAAAAAACATAAATATATATACAAAAATATATATATATATTATAATATACGCATGTATTTTGTTGAGAGATGTTGTCGAAATCGTTTAACCAAAGCGCGCTGAACTAAAAGAATTAAAAATTAATAAACCTGCACAAATAAGGAAATTGCTTTCCAAACGCTGAACATTCAAACCGAACGGAATGCCGCGTTTTTAGAGCATATTGCGCATACGACACGTCGAGCGCCAGGATAAGTAAACATATTGTTGCGAAAAAAAATTGTTCGTGCAGCTATTCGAGGGCCATAAATTGTTTGTGTTGTTGCATATACACTGCTTAGCTGTGTGTGTGTGTGTGTCTGCTCTGACTGTGTGTGACACATTGTAAATAAACGCAAATAACGGGTAAGTGCTAAAGCCTGGACTTAGGGCTTGCTTTGAGCAAGTATTTGTAGGTCCAAATTGAATTTAAAATTTAATGTAATCGGAATACAAATTTGAAAGTTAAGCTTAAAAAAAATATTATATATATTTCAATAATATATATGGCATACCAATTTTAGTTTAAGTGGGCAAAAACAAGCATAAAATAAATATTTTATTTATTTAAGTGCTAAAATATTTATTTAAATTTATTTTTTACTGCTTGAATGTGACATTTTCAACATTCTGTTAAAGTTTTTTGAAAAAGTTTTTAACGTTTAAGCTTCACAGTAATAAGTTTTTAAAATCTTACTTCCTCCCTCCAGAATTTGTCAACATCTGAATCCGATTGATTAAGCATTCAGAGTTCATTTTTAAAAGCTAACATATTTTTATTCAGAGTTCTCATTTTTTTTCTCTTAGCTGAAACTCAAACTGTTTCAAATGAATTTTCTATCTTTCCTTCAAAAATATAATTTCTTGCAGCATGAGTCCAAAAATATTTCACCGAAATGGATTTTATTTCGATTCTTAGAAAATAATTAATTTAGCTTTCAGAATACCAAATTTTCTAACTCGATCATTGAAGTTCTAAAAGTTCTCCAAACATACATACAAAAAAATATATACTTTTATTGCCTCAAATGCTTTTAAAGCACATTTATTTCCTTTTTATTTAATTAAATACGACAAATTAAATTTGTAAATTTTATGGTAACAGCGTTTATTGTCAACACGTTGGCAACATCGATAAACATAACAAATGAAACTTTTCATTTTGACAGCAAAAATGTAATTAATATTGTTATTTGTACAAAGTGTACATTAGCTTTGGGCAGCGTGCATTAAAATTTAATTCGACATAATTGAAACGGCATTGCGTATAATCAATATAAATTGCACCTTTGGCAAACGCCTAAAATAATTGAATATTTATCAGTTGATTACGGAGTCATGCGTTTATTCATGCAACACGCATACGCAGCGTGGGCGACAGCCTAACACAAATTCATAAATCCTACAGCAAGCAAAAAGGAGAAACATGACAACAACACATTTTTTCACAATTTTACATTCCAATTTGTTCATATTGGAGAGTTGGAAGGGGTTACACCCATATTGTTGTATAATGCTAGCTTTCAGTGGGACCTCAGAGCAAAAATATGCAGGCGGAAATACGCCTTCATTCAGACTTTAAGCCCCTGTTTCAATTTACCGCACGTCGGAGTGTGTGCGACGGTGTATGTGTGTGTGTGTGTGTGGCTGAGATTTCTGTGGAGAACACAAACGGGCCTTAGCCTGCTTAACCCAGCGGAGCATGCAGTGGGCCAACTCTATTTACCTTGGACAGGCCACTCAAACACGGTCACGCCCTTGAAACACTCACACTCGACCTTCGGACAGAGAACGGCAACAGAGCAGAATAGAGGACATGTTGGCCAGGATCACGTTGGCCAACATATTGCGTTTTATTTCCAGTCAAAGAGGCTGCATTTTAGAAATTGCATGCATAATAGTCAAGTCTAAGCAGACCATGAATATTTATCACGTGTCCACGATTAATGCATTTTTAATGCAAAAACCACATACCCACAAGCCGCATTATCCACCAAAGGACACTGATGGCCTGGGGCGTGGCGCCAATAAAACCAGGGCAAACGGTGTGGCGGGTGGAGGTTGACGGACGGCGAGTTCTGGGGATGGGCCATGCCTGAGGCAAAGGCAAAGGCAAAGCCAATGGCAGCTCCTCAATATTTGTTGACATGCTGAGTTATTGGCAGGGCGGGTCACAAACTGCGGCTGCAGCTTTGGTCTTTTTACGCGCACACACACACACACACACACACACACTCACACACACACAGGCGCGTAAGGCTTGTGTATTAATAGCCCACTTATTATATTCCTTGTTGTTTTATGTCCGGCGAGTGTTCTGTGTGCAAGCAACATGTGTCCCGAGCATATTGCGCTTTAATGATCAATTTTTCGTATACCCTACCAGAGGATATCATGATATTGTCATGCATTATTCCATTAGAAACTTTGTTATTTCCTGCCAAGGAATTTATAGCTAAGAAAATGATTTTCAATTTCGTGCTAGAAAATGTATACATTGTTCAGATAGAAAATAACTTAAAAATAAATTGCAAATATTTAGTAATTCAAGACACAGTTTGAAGGTCACAGACTTACAATTTTAGAGTCAGCAAAACTGCTCTGATTGAAAAGGTTTTTTTTTGTCTATTTTAGAAATAATCAGATCTGAGCATAAATTATCGAAAATTAAGCAGTATTTCAGAAAAAAAAAACACTAAAATACCCAAGTATAGCTTAAGGCAAGGGTATTCAAGCGTCGCCAAGCCTACTCTCACTTGTGTTTGTTTATTTGTCTGCTTTTGGGGCAATGGTACGCATATTACTTCGGCTGCCTCATTATTAAACTGCTGTTTATCTTGTTTTTGACAAGTTTTCCTTTTTTTTTGGGGGGGGGGGGGGGGGGGGGGGGGGTTCTCTTTGTTTCTGTGTTGGGGTTTCATTGTTTAATGGCCTGTGGCATATTGACATATGTTGGTTGGATTTTAATAGGCATTTGCATTTGCATTGCAGGTTTTTCTTCTTTTTTTTTTTGCTTTTTCGTGGAATCAGTTTTCACTTTTGCCATGAGACTTGACTCGAGAGCTGTTTCTGACAGAATGAAATCAATATAAGAAAAAACTTTTATTTTATTTTTTATGAATTTTCCAAGAAAAACTTAAGGACTGCGTCGCAAGCAGAAAGTTGACAGCTTAACAAACTTTGCGCAAACTTTTTGGAATAAATTGTCGGAGCTCCCTTTTGATTATTTGCAAAACTAATTTAGACTATGCTCACACTTGGACACATAATGAATATCAATAAACACAAGGGTAAAGAAACTCTATCAAAGCTATATAATTCATAATTTAATACTTTTTCCTTCTTCGTGTGATGGCTGATTCCGGTATGACATTTTGTCTGAGAGTGTGTGGAGCATAAAAGAGGACATCTAATACATACAAACAAGTAAGAGGTTCTAGTCGGGAGCTCCCGACTAAGGGATACCCTGAGCCCTCATCTTCCAACACCAAATGCAAATATATATCAAGTTTTATGACTCTAGCTCTTATTATTTACCATAATTTGTCAAGAAACAGGATTTCGTTAGTTTTTTATGGGTTACTTGAAAACGGGGCACGTTATCGATTATCGGAAACAATTTCGATCTGCGCAGGCACTAGGACGACCTACAACTAAAATTTCAAAAGTCCAGCTCTTATAAGTTCTGAGATCCTTGCCACGGACATGGCTTGATCGACTCGACTGTTGATCAAGCATATATATAATTTAAGGGGTCGGAGATGCTTTCCTTTTTAGCTATTTTGAATGCGTTCAGGGTATAAAAAGCATAATTTTATCTGATTAGCATGCATAACATATTCTTTCTGTTCTTGCGTTCTTCTTTGTATACAAACTATTTTCAGAAAACTTTATTCAGCTTGTTTTTCAGATCTGGCTAACTATATCATATAGCTCTCATAGAAACTCTCGATTGATATTTAATTTGTTTCTTAGTTTTTTTTTACGATATCCTAAAAAAACAATGTATATGCTTTACTTTGATCCTTTGATCCTATTGAAATTATTAAACGAATTGATATTAAAATGTATTTTATCATCGGTACATGTTTATATTTTACCTTTAATTTAAATGAATGACATCTAACGTCTGAAATTAATTTAAAAAATTGCCAGCAAAGGTATGCAGCATTAAATTTCCAAAAATTCCAATAAATTTATCTAATCCTAACATCGAATTAGTCAACAGCATATAAATATATCTCCTAGGTGCTTTAGCTACTTATGACACTTGCCGAAGCTCAAAGCGAATAGGCTTTAGGTCGCATAAGACATAAATATTCATTGGCGGCTAATTACACAAGTCTATGGCCCAGCCAGTTGTTGTTGTTGTTGATGTTGTTGCTGTCATTGATGCTGTTTTGGGGCCAACTGTTGAGAGTAGAGAACATAATGGAACAGCCAAAGTCAATGCCAAAGGCGGCAATAATCAACTGGCAGCAGCAGCAACAAAATGAACAACACGCAACAATGACAGCAATGTCAATGACTAGGATGGGGAACGAGTCCGATTGCAAATGGGGGTTGGAAGGGCGATAATGATGTTGTTGTGAAGAAATACTATAGCTACGACTATATCATTATATGGGCATTACAAATTGCTGACGGCTGATTGCCTGACTGTGGACGACTGCCTGGCAGCTCATGTTGATATTCTGCGTAGCATTTATCACGTTTGCCGTCGGGCTACTCGGGCGCATACTTAACGTCTGCTTTTATACAGTTTCTGCGCATGTGAAGGATTAAATTTACGCCTGTTGCCAGCCAGCAGCATTTACGGCACTCGCATCTAGCGGAATTTAAACAAAAGAAAAAAAAAAGCACAGGAAAAAAACACTTTGCTACGTGTGGCAAGTCGTGTGTGCCACAAAGCGAAAAAAATAAAAGCTGAGCTGCTCATGATGCGGCTGCTGCTGCCTGGCCCACTTGAAGCCGCAGCAGCCGCTCGACGGTAATCTAATTATGACAATGCGTTCGAGCAAACAAGCTGGAAACTTTTGATGGAGACTTTTCCGCCGACTATGTGACAGCCATAAAATTCATATAATAATAGAAATTTCAATCAAATTGCAACAAACTATGCGAGTGAATAGCCAACTTTCAGCTAGCCTTAAAGTCTGGCTACTATTTAATGGCAAAAGTTAAAGAAATTTTTAAGTTTATATTAAAAAGTTGAAGAAAGGAAAAGGAAAGCAGTGTGATTATGGGTAATAATAATAATAAAATTTAATAATATTCTATAGTTTGTTTAATTTCTAATATTGGTTCATAACATTTATAGCAAATATTTAAATTTGCAGTATAAAACCAATTTACGAACTTTTAGAGGATATTATAACTTTGTCAAGAAATTAACGCATAGAAGAAGAAGTCTCCGTACCCATATGGTATATATATTCTAGATCAGCATCGACTGCCGAGTTGATATAGACATGCCCCTCTGTCCGTCTGCCTGTTTCGATGGCATACGTATATCATTTAGCTGTCTTAGAAATGATCGGTCGAAAAGTAGGTCCTTGTATGAATAACTTTTGTCTTATGAAGCTCCCTACACATAGAGTAATATACATATTACATCAATACACTATATCATTCAGCTGCCACAGTAACAATCGATCGAAAATGAAATTCTTGAACTAAAAACTTTAGTGTTTATCAAGGTATCGAGAAAATCGTCATTTATCAGTTTAACTATGCTCCGTACACGCATGTAAAATCCCATCAGCATATGTCATAGGAACTATCGGTTAAAATAAAGAGTTTTTGTAAGAAACACCTTTTGTTTAACAAGAATTCTTGACCAAAGCTCGCCATTTACTATTTGAGCTATTCTGCTTATATATGAGCATACTTTTATATTATTTAGCTTTAAAGGAAGTATAGTTCGATAATTAAGTTAAGTCAAGATATTCTGTTCTCGAAGATATTTGCAGCAAAATCAGCATTTACGAACTTTACTATTCTCACAATTCAGCCAAAAGGCCTCTAAAAGGGTATACAATCTTCGGTATGCCAGTTATTGTGACAATTTTAATTCTTTTTGAATTCGCGTGTATTTTATATACAATTCTGACACGAAATATAAAAATGAAATTATTTTAATGCGCATTTTATGGACTGACAACGAACCTAACACAACTTGACTGATGCTATAGAATTGGCTGTAGGGTATTAACGCCCGACTTGATAACAGACTTGCAGCTGTGCCACAGACGCACCCCAGCAGCAAGCAACAGTTGTCGTGGGCGTGTTTGTGGGCATGGTCGTGGCGGTTCGTGTCGCCTCATTGTGTGACAAACACTTCATTAGACTAATGAACATAATTTGCCGTAATTGTGCAATTTGATGTCGCTAGCCGCTGGGAACTTCTGTTTTTTATTCATGCCTCTGTATATGGTATATATATTTTTTAAGTTAAGTGAAAAAAGAAAGGAAAAAAAAAGGTGATTAACTGATGTTGAAATTGCTCGCGGCGCCGCATGAAATCAGAACAACAATGCGTGCTCGTGAAACGGAGTGCGGGGCGCGGGCGGGTTGCGGGCAGGCATTGAACCATGCCCCTATCGATTAGATAAAATTAATTTTAGTCACTGAGTCAATATACAAAATATATATTTTAGCAGAAAAGTGCGGCTGACAGGCAGCTGGCGTTTTATGATTGGCCTTGACTTTGCCGCTGTCGCAGCCGGAAATAGTGCGGTCCGTTTATCTGAGGCTGGCTGGCAGGAAAATCTAGTGAAAATATGCGATAAAAGCACGAAAATTGTTTATAAAATGCGAACGGCCGCAACAGGCCAACAAGCCACAAAAGCCGCAGTTTTCTGCATTCCAAATTTATGGCAACTGTGATAAATTTGCGCTTGCCATGTATCCGTATAACAAAGTACAACAAAAAAAATGTGTCAGCTAAAAGGCTGTAAAATACATTAGAGTTTGCCCCCATGGTTGCCACAGAAACTGCGCAACATGTGCGAGGCATCACAATTTGTAGCCTGCAAGCCGACATACGAGGCAAGGAGGTGATTAGAGAGAGAGAGAGAGAGAGGGAGAGGGAGAGAGATTGTGTGTGGCACGTTGGCCTGACATCGATTTACAGCTCCGCCCACGATCTGATCAATTTGACATGATTGGTTTAGTTGAGATTTATTAACTAGGACGAGGGGCGGCACCAGAGCTACAAATTATGACCTGTTGAGCTCAAGTTAACTGATTGATTGATTGACTTGATAAATTTATTGATTTTGTCTGGCTTTTAATTCACATAGTGTTCACGTAGGCAATCCATTTACTGATTAAAGCAACATTAAGTAAATATTTGCTGCCAAGTTATTTGAGCTTGTTGTGAAAAATAATTGCTGAGCTAGTTGGGATCATCGATTAGCCGCGCTTACACAATCAATGTTATTTTGTCAGCATCGTTCGTTGTTTTTCTCTTTCTAAAATAATTATTTAAAATATTTACGAATAATGTAGCTCTGCAGTTTCTCTCATCTCTTGTATATACTTCTAGGCCTTTCTCAAATATATTTTGAAATTTCATTAAATACTATCGTAGACATTGCAGAGATGGGATCAGAGTAAAGCACCTAAATGCTGAGTTTGGGAAATATATCTTGGAAAAAACTACATTTTCTGCCTATGAAAATACATTTAAAAAATGCAGAGACGTTGTGTGTATTCCACAGAAAGAGTTTTACACTATGTTGTATCACTCAAAAATACATTAAGAATCTTTACACGTTTTTACAGATTCAGAGAATAAATAAAAACAAAAACAGTATGAACTTTGCATCTTACTTCCCAAGCCAAAGCTACCTAATTTTATTTATGATACGATTTTGAGTTTGCTGAATTTGAAATGAAATATGAATATTTAAAACTCATGAATCATCGAGTAAACCTCGCTCGACCTGCCCTACGATGATGTAGGCAGCGCACAAAGGCTTATAAATCATGTAGGAACTTGCAAAGAAATCCTCTGTGGGTTATCGTATTTCACACACACACCTACACAAACACACACTCACCTTCACACACCCACACACTCTCAGAACTCTTTCAATTGCTGTCTCAAAGAAACCTCACAAAAAGTTAACATAAATAAATAACCAGCTCGAAAGCAAATTGCACGAAAAATAAAAATAAATGCGAGAAAAATATAAAGCAAAAAGCAGAATTATTTTCCAAAAAAAAAAAAAACTAGCTAACGCTTCAAAGTGTTAATTAATTAACAGAAAGCCCATAAATTGAGTATTTAAACAGTTTTAGCCAACAAACAAAAAAAGGGCCTCTACCTTCGTATTTCACAGCATCTTTCAGTTGGAGGCGCCTGTTTGCGCAGCTAATTGCAAACAAGTCCCTCCACCCACCTTGACACACTGCTACACCTGCTGCTTGCCACCTTTTGTGGCAGTGTCCTTGCCTCGACGAGACGGGACAGCTGTCAGCACGTGCCGCTGCGGTCACAGTCAGATCCTGGCATTGGCCACAATGGCGCCTTAAGCAGCGCAATTAATAACCCAAAAAGCTGTGCCCAGGCTTAAGGGGTAAGGATTCGTGAGGGGGGGGCACGGGGTTGGGGGCGGCAAATGCGGGTTACGGGTTACGGCCGGCGTTGCCTTGATTTATTTATAAGATGCCCCACTCTGTGACTTGACCTGATAATGAAAGTTTTATGTCCATGCGGTTGTGTTGCCATTAGGCGCCTTTAGTTCCGCAGGACAACAACTAATTGAGTCTTAACTTGTGCTTAACTCAACTAAACTTAAGCAAGAGGGTATTTCGATTTGGTCATGCAATTTGTAACGCTTTAAGGGTGGTCCAACTAACTATTCATATTTATAAGTCCAGCTTCTGCTGCTATTTATTCATTTATTTTTATCATAGCCAAGAGTATTTGCTATTCGGCTTGTCAAAATTAAATGCTCTTCTTTTTTCTTGTACTCTCAGCGACATGGATATTGTCATACGTGAGGAGGAGCTATCGCTGACGCAGATAGGCGTCTATGCCTCTGTATCCTTTCTGGTGGTTTCTGCGGTGGGCGCGGCCCTGTACACCACCTGCTCGAAACGCTATCGTCTCAACTGGTTTGAGAAGAATCTACTAGAATCGGCCAGCGAGAAGGATGAGGAGCAGCAGAGGTAAGTACGCCCTACTCCGTCTCCTCTGCTCACTACTTTTCAACAGAGCATCTTGTTGCAGCCGCGAGGCGCTGGTTGCCGGCGCCGTGGGCTACAATGTGGACAATTTGCATGAGGGCGTGCCGCGTGGCAAGCTGACCCACAATACTGCGGGCAACCTGAGCCCCACTTCGCTCAAATCGGAGGATGCCGATCCGGCCTTTTGGGTGCCCGCTTCGGTGACATCCTCGACAGCTGCCGTCCAGCAGCAGGTCTCTAATACCACCGAGGAATCGGCACCGCCCACGCCCACTTCGCCCACTGGCAGCCTAAAATCGAACACACTCTCCCTCTGCTCGACCACATCGGTGCCCATTGCCCGCTCCGATAAGCATGTGGTGCTGGCCATGCATCCCAGCCGCCCGCGTGTCTCCTCCATGAACGCCAAACTGGATCATACCAAAATCGACATGACCCTGTACCGTAGCGTAAGTAAATGCATTCGAGCGTGTGCTTCCAATGTGTGGCTATCTTTTATCCCTTTTGGCAGCACGCGCAGCCGAAGCCCGTATGCCCCGCCGCGCCCATCAGCGAGCTGCGTGGAAATCTGCATATCTGCCTCAGCTATGATCCGGTTGGCGGCCTGCTCAATGTGCGTCTCCTGGAGGCACAGAATCTACAACCACGCCAATTCAGCGGCACCGCCGATCCCTATGCCAAGATACGCTTGCTGCCGGACAAGAAGAACTTTTGGCAAACGCGCATACACAAGAAGACACTGAACCCAGGTGCGAATTGATATAATCCAGTTAATATAATCTACGTGTCCCGGTCAACCGTCCATCCCAATTTAATACAGCAGTTGTCAGATTCACAACGTAAACTCATTTGGAATTTCAATGTGGTGGATTTTTTCTACCTAATTTCACTTATATCAGTGGAATTTCCAAATGGTGGAAAAAAATCCACTGCAATAGTGCAAATAAAATAGCGAGCTTCATATATTTGGTGAAACCCGATCTACTGCAGACATTTTAGAAGCTCCGAGTATTTGAGAATTTATAGCATGAGCGAAAGATTGGTGAAAAACATATGACTTACTATATCTTTTCCTGAATATTTGATTTGTCGATTATAAAAAAACTAGAGACTAAGCTACGTGCAACTCGCATAATAGTTGAGAGAAAAAAACTGACAGCAACTTGGCAAGCCACATATTTAAAAATTTCCCATCCGTGGGTGAAATAGCGGTGAAATATTGGTGAAAGTTCAATTTATGCCAGATAATCACTTAAAATGAAAGATTTACATAAAAACTGAATAAAGTTCTCGGGTGTTATATAATCTGAAGCAAAACAATATATATACCATATCTTATTAATATGCAAGAAATTCACCTCCTTGTGTGAAAAAAGGGTGAAATGTTGGTAAAAAATGCAATAGACATGAGATCCATATATCTTCATACTTATATGGAATGATATAAGTCTGAGGTTCATATAATATCAAATCACATACTTCAAGAAACTCTCATCCCTGGGCACAGTTGATAGATTATTAAAAAAAATTTAGTTGTAAAATACAATTGAAAATTTGAAGGCCAAAAATTGACAAGAAATTCCATTTGACTCGGTCAAAATCGGTCGATTGTAATTTGAACTATGACTAATCTGTGAATTCCCTATTCCAAACAGTTTTCGATGAACACTTTGTATTTGAGGTCACCGCCGGGGTCATCGACAAGCGCAGCGTGGAAATTTTACTCTACGATTTCGATGCATATTCACGCCACGTTTGCATTGGTGGCACCAAGCTGCATTTGGCCAATTTGGATCTGAGCGAGCAGCTGAAACTCTGGACACCGCTCACCTCGGCCTCGGCACAGGACATGAAGGTGGATCTGGGCGATATAATGGTCTCGCTAGCTTATCTGCCCTCCGCGGAGCGTTTGATGGTGGTGCTAATAAAGGCACGCAATCTACGCATTGTGGACGATGCACGCAACTCCTCGGATCCGTATGTGAAGGTGACTCTGTTGGGACCGGGCGGCAAGAAGCTAAAGAAGCGCAAGACGGGCGTGCAGCGCAATACCGTTAATCCGGTCTATAACGAGGCATTGGCTTTCGATGTGGGCAAGGAGACGCTCAAGAATTGTGTCCTAGAATTCAACGTGGTGCACGATGGCCTGCTCGGTGAGTGACTGTCAAGGCGATGCCTTTATACAAATTCACTAATGTAGTCTTTCGAACAAATTCAACTAGGTTCCAGCGAAATATTGGGTCGTGCTTTAGTTGGCAACTCGCCTGAGGTGCAGCACGATGAGAAGATTTTCTTTGAGGAAATGTTTCGGGCCAAGAACGCAACAGCTCAGTGGGTATCGCTGCAGGAGCCGGCCAACAACTTGAGTGCCACAGCCAAGACAACAACCAAAAATTAGAATCCACAGAAGGCGCTGTGTTTTGCGTGTTAAGCTTTCTGTTAAGCTTAACAGACAACTGTTGCGCCTAGCATTAACAGAGCAGACCCCAAACCCCCCCCCCCCCCCACGATTCACCTCCATAAACCATTTTTAAAAAGGAGTTCATGTGGCTAAGAAATTTTCTGGGAATTTGCAGGGATACATTTAAGAAGGATGCTGAGCGCGTTTGCAACATATTCAAAACAATACAAATATATAAATAAATATATTTATGTGTATATACAGTACGATCTCGATAAGGCGAACCAGGTATTGTTCGCATTCGCGAAAAATATATGTGAAATCTAGAAGGGGATTTATATATATCCCAAATAATATAATTCTCAAATATTTATGCCTTATTATTCACTGAATCGTTAATTTAAAACATTATTGAATTGATTTTGCTCAATTTAAAATTGATTTTTATTTTGAGAAAAATTTGGTCTATTCTAGTAATTTGTATATCGAAATTTAAAAAGTAAAATAATATCGTTTGCCAGGCTGTTCGCATTAACGAGTTTGTACTGTATTGACAAACTTGAAAAACCGAAAAACTAAATAACTAAATGTGCTTTGCATGATATCAATTACAACTTTAACCAAAGAAAGAAAAAAAAATATATATATATATATTCAAACATATATTGAAAAATACTTATATGTGCTACGTGTATGTCAAGAGGTACCTAAGATGCAACTATATAATTTGCATGCTATGTCAAAAGTATATATATATATATAAATATATATAATTGAATATATGAGTTGAGGGCTATGAATGATAAAATCTATTTAAGTAGATCATTTCAGCTTGAATAAACATATATAAAATATATACTGCTACACTTAATCGAAACGAAATTGTAGAACAGCTTTTCAAAAAATATATATATTTGGAATATCCTAAAACCTGTAATATGAAGGGTTTCAGTACACAAAGGGCACAAGAGTTGAAACAAATACTAAATGTATTTTAATTTTTGCTGTCATAACACAGAACATTGGGCAGAAATCGAAATATACGTATATCTTATAAAAATATCGTTAGTTTTTGAGACAACAAGTCAATAGATTAGTTAAATAGAATGCACTATATAATCAACCAGCATGTAATAATACTATGGTAAATAAAATTCTCTATTATCAAATTTGTCTATTATTTGAAATACTTCAAAATGGTCATAATGTCTTTAGCATATTCTCATATATAAATATCATTAAAAAAATCTTGACTCACCCAAAAGTCCACAAACATAGGCACAATTATTTAATTGTCATCTTTTACTAGGAGGAAGAGCGGCTTTTATATGTATATAATATTCACTAAAAGAGTAAAAGAAGTAAAGAATAGTTTGATTAAAACCCGAAAGACAAATACGACAAGAAAGAATCAAAGATTCTTTTTAAAAAAGCATGAACAGCTGTATAAGCCTAACTTGATTTAATGAGAATCGCATAGAAGGGCAATAGTCAAAAATACGTTTTTATTGTCATCACAGTCAGCAGGATCTAAGCGTGGCGTGCTTTTGGTAGGAGAGAATATATATTCCACATATCAGCCGCCTTTTTCCGGGCCCAGCATTTATTGAATTCCATTTTGAACCCATCGGAGAGAACATCCACAACCGGTGAAATAGTTCTCAGAGAAAATATTTCATATATATTGATTATATAAATAACTAAAATTGAATGTAATTTTCTTTCCGATTTTCAATTTTCCCTAAATGCTCTATTTTTATCACTACTAAGAAAAAAGAATTTCTGTTTGTAAAGTTGATTATCAATCACTCAGTTTGTCAAACATGACAAACAGCCTTATCTATATAAAGAGAACAATTTCGCCATTTTCTTTAATGGGCCAAATACTCATAGAACAAAAACTTATCATCAGATGTGGCCATCAAGCCAAAAGGAATGCAGTCAAAGTCTGGACTCAGTCAACCGCCCCGTTGGCTCGTCCTTTTTAGCTTGACTTATTTGGCAAATACTTTGCAACTTGTTGACCAAGTTGGCGTAAAAAAGTTTCTGCTCCTACTTTTTCTAACTTGCAAGCCTTTAACTAATTTTGCAACATTGACTGATATTTCCACAGGGTGCTGGGCGATGCTAGATTGGCCGTTAAAGCAGGCATGCCGAACTGAATTGTTGTCTGTGTCCGATTACTTGTCTGACTCTTTGGTGTCCCTAAGTTAAACGTAAATTTCCTTTCAATCAAAATGTGCTTTCATTCAATTTAGTAGCGCTGTGGCAAAAGTAGCACTGACTGCAAAATAGAGTGAAAAGCCGGCTAAGAGCAAAAAAAAAAAAAAAGCAGAAAAAGGCAGCACCAACTTTGAACTATTGCCAAGAATTGATGGCGCCAAAAAGTAGACTACAGCAGTTGTAGCTGCTTATCGGCAAAAGGAAACGCCTTCTCACTCTCTCTCCCCATCTCTCTCTGTCTCTGATAGATTGTCAGCTAAGCACTTATATAGATAGATGTATTATGTGTATGCATGTGTACACTGCGTATCCTGGTTGGGTATGGAAAGTCAACATCGGAGATAGCCCCAACGACACCGCAAGTTAGGGAAATTGTTTGGCCAAATATTTGTCTGCCGCTTGCCAATCAGTCGGTTAGTTGGCTTAAAGTGATATTTTCATATATATGGTTGGTAATAAAATAAGGCCAAAATTAGTTTAAAGTCGTAAATGCTGAGATTTAATTATAGTACGTACAACTGTGGCAAGTGCGACAAAACCGATTCAAAATCGTCACTTAACCGATTCGCAATTTAAACAGTGTCCATTTTGTGTAACCGATTCACAACCGTTTCAATGTGAAACTTTCTAATTCAGGCATTAAAGCTATTACACTCAACATTTTTATTGTGCCTCCCAAATAACCGATTCATATATTCACCAAGATTCGAATATATTCACCAAGAACCCGAAAATATAAACAGTTGCGAAAGATTGTTTTAAAAAAACGTGCTAAAGAAATCTCCCAATTCAAGCGGTTAAAGGCTTGCCTTTTGCGAAGATAGTGTTCAAAAACCGGTTCATAACCGTTTCGATTGGCAGCGGTTGAGAGACTTGCCCTGCTGTTCCTAATTATATTTTATTATTTATAGAGTTGCATTCTAACCGGTTCAGAGTCAATTCACTAAAAAATGTCATAAACTTGCGTCAAATATTGAAAGTTATCTCTTAAATATAATTTTCTAGAGGCGAAGCCAAACGGTAATTAATACAAGTTTCATAACCGTTTCGACTTCCGCGTGGTACAATCAAAACCCAACGGAGATGCATGGCAATTATATTGCAGAGGGCATTAGAGACAATTACGTGACAGCTTTAAAGTTAAATCGTGGCCCGTCGCATTGTTCGTGCTTATTGGATTTAGCCATTAATCCAAGCTGCTCTACTGATACGTATTTATTGGCCATTCAATATTTCAGCTATTTCTCATTCCCAATTCGCAATGCGCAATTCACATTTCACATACCCCATTCCCACTTACCCATTTGGCTATCAATTTTTCGCCAAAATACTTCGCATCAAAGTCAGTGCCAATAAACTGCAAGCGACTAACGAGCAAATTCCATTTTTAATTTCGTCATGCCACTGTCTGCTGCTTCTTCTTCGACTTATTCTTCGTTTCTTTTTTTTTTTTTGTTTCGTTCAATTCTTTTATGCTGCTTTCCCGCTTTGCTGCACATTTTGGGTGCTATTTCGTTTTTCAAAGCTTGTCAGCGGAAAACGTAAACTAACGACATTTTCGTTTTCTTATTTACACAATCAATTTCGAGCTTTTGTGATGCGGCAAAAGGCGAACGGCAAATGCGGAGAGCAGAGCACGACAACAACAGCAACAACAACTACTGCTCACCCACACTCGCGCTCATTCTTTTTCGACTGTTGCATTTTTTGTTGTTCGTGCTTTTTGTTTGTAAATAGGGTATATTGGTTATGTGCAATGTTCGACTTGCTGACCGTTCGCTCGGCTGTCCTAATTTAATATTTTAAAATTCAATGTGGGCGTGGCAAATTAATTAACACACAGCTCTAAAAAAAAACATTTGCCCTATTTGAAACTATTCAAATAGTTGCAGTCAACACGGTAATGAGTATAACGCAGTCGGTTACATCCGACTGCAACACACAATCATACATACATACATAAATGAATTTGTACTTGCCGTTTTGTTGTTTTCGTATGTTACTCCCGTTGTTTCGTTAAGTTCGCCTTCGCATTCGCATTCGCATTTGGTGTTGGCATTTTGTGCCGCGAGGGAAATTGTCGTCAAAGCGCAAAAAATGTTAGATTGTTGTTTTAGCAGTGCAGCCGACTCCGCACCCGCATCCGCACCTCATCCACACACATGTCGCTTATGGCCGTGCATTGCAATCTGTGTGCGTGCGTGTGTGTGTGTGAAGCTAGTAATAGTTCTAGTTCTAGTTTCTTGTTACATTTACTGTTTTTTTTTTCTCCTAAATTTGCCATGTCTCAACCGCTCTCGTTCACGCTGCCAGCTTTGTTGTGAGTTCCTTTTGATGCTGACCGCATTTGCTGGCTGCGCTCGCTTGCGCTCTCTCTCTCTCTCTCTCTCTCTCTCTCTCTCTCTCTAGCACTGTCTGTTTTTTTTTTTTTGTAGCCTTTATTGTTTATGCAACTGTCAGCAGTTTTCGTTGCCCGTTTCTGAGGAAGTTTTCGCTCACAATTGGAGATTTACTTGGTTGGCACATGTGTGTGCGTGCCTGTGTGGGTGTGTGACTGTGTGTTTGCGTGTTTGCTTTGGCTCAGCTTACATGGACAGTGTACACTGTACGCGCGCGCGTTTCTCTGTGTTGCTTCATATTTGTTGTCATTTCCAATTGTTTCTACGACTTTTGACAGCTAGCAGATTAGCTTGGTGACGCCTCTGCAGATAACAGCAGCAGCAGCACGAGATACTCGGTACGCTCGTTTGTTTATTGGCAGCGCCATCACGGCATGCGGCTAAAGAGATTGCCCTGGGAAATCAGCGATATACAGTTAGAGAGGGCAAGCGAGGTATGCTGCCTCACTCACAGTGTGGGGCCCACACACCGCCCGACTAGAGATTGGACAAAATAACAAATTGCGATTGCAGCTCGTTTTGGGCATCGAAATGTGTTTGTCAATTGTTTGATTTCTGATTTCTGATAGTCAAACACATAATTCGCCTTTCGATTGTTATGAGTAGAAGTTATTGCTTATTAATATTATCTGTTTATTTTTCAATAAGTGATATTTTTACAATTTCATTTCAAACGGCAAATGAAAATGTGATTGCAGCTCTTTTTGATTGAAATGAATAATTCATTTCGTTTTAGTTTCGATTTACAGTCATCGATTCTTTAGAATTAAAAAAGATTGAAGTTCTGTAATTATTATTTTTTTTATATTGCTCTGAGAATAATTCTTTCTATTAAATTAAGTTGAACTAGCCTTTTGTTTTTGAACAAAAGTTATTTCCACAATAACTTTTGGGAAATATATTTTCGTTATTCTTTCCAAAAGGCAGCTAAGCAGCGGTTGCAAAGCAATTATAAAAGCCATTTTCTGTGTCAACAACATGCATCGAGAATTTGACTAAAAAGTGAAAAATGAAAATTAATTAAATTATTTGAAGCTAAGCAATGTCACATGTGCGGTTAGCTCATGTGCTCCGCACGGCTGCATAAAGCTCATCAATAAACAAAATTTATGGCTAAAACACAATTGCAGCGAACAAGGACAACAGCAGCCGTAGCCAAAAACGGGGCGCCAAAAAAGCTATAGCCAAAGCCAAAGCCAATTAAAGACACGCCTCAACAGCAGCAGCAGCAGTAGCTGCAGTGGGCGTGGCACAGTGCTGTAAAACATCGGGAACATATCCCATGCCGCTCCTGCTCCTGCCCCTTTTCCACAGCAAGCCGTTAACAATGTCAACTGGCCAACGAGCATTGGTGGGCCAGTTGGCTCCTGGTTCCTGGTAGTTGGTGACGAGCAACCAAATTTCCGCACCCAATCAGCATATTTAAATTGTGTTGTGTTGGTGATTGAAATGCATGAAGTACGACACAACGTAACTAGGATAGCACACCATCAGTTAGAAACAGTGTTGTATAATTTTTAAATTTAGGTTCTTTTTGTTTTTAAAAGACAGCGAGAAGCAACTCGCTTTGACAAACTAGTTTCTTTTTTCTATTAAAATATTTTAAGCCCGAATTTCCTCTATTATTAAAAAACATTAAACTATACCCAAAAAGAGGGGTTAATTAAGGTTGAGACTAAGCTATGCCTAACTGTATTTAAACGAAGATTTAATTTAATTTAAGCAGAACGGGCTATTTTTTGGAACTACCAACCTAGCTTTGTTTTCTTTATATCCCTGCATTCCTTTAGAATTCACAGAAGCTGGCAACACTGGCTGAAGGACACATGCATATACATTTATCAGAGGGACACACTGACAAACATGAATTTTTAGCAACATCGGTAGCTTGGTGGCTTTTCCCACAGTTTAATAGCCAGCAGCGCTTCGATTTTGATGCTGATTCTCATAGCCATTCTCCATTCTCCATGCCCATTCCAATTCCAATTCCAATTCCAGTTCCTGTTCCTGTTCAGTGCTGTTTCAGCATTTTCGTTTTTGATTGTTCGATTTTCTACTTTGCCGTTGCATTTCCCTACCTAGTTTTTCTTTACATCTATTTTTATTTTGGATTTTTTTTTTTTTTGTTGTGCTTTCCTTTTTGTTTTATTGGCAGTTTGTGTGTCAGCTGTGTGTTGGTCAACCGCCGCAACACTCTAATTGCCAGGCAACGACTGAGCTGGCCACACATGCGAAGGTGGCTGCAAAATGGCCTCGGCAATGTCGGCTTTACCATTTTTCGGATGCACACAAATCGTTTGAATATTGTTTTCCTTGCCTAGTTTTTGTTCGAACCCGCACTCCCCCGTCGCCCTTCTAAAACCCACTCAAAAAAACTACGACGGCCTGTAGAGCTTAGGAGAGAAAAAATACGGTCACACTGGCCGGCGAACACTTAAAGCTAACCATTTTTAATTGGAATTTAGGCGCAAAGTCGTAAATATTTTGGCCATAGGCACATGGAACTGTCCCGATAGCACAACAGCCGCACGTATTCCATTTTCAGCGGATGCCTTCAAGTGGTTGCCGGCGAGTTTCGAGTACAGATATTGCTGTTTGAAGTGGTTAACGGCAGGTGGTGCGGCTATGCGGAACTGATAAATGAATCAAATATGTGTGTCGGCCAGCACAAACGATTCATAACATGCCCAAAAGCGGGCTCAAATCCTGGCCAGAGCGTGGAGTAACTAAAGCAAAAAATAAACACATGTTTCATACACCTGGTTAGAATTGGGAGCCCTTAAAGCTTCGTTTCGTGACACGAATTGGATGTGGTTCGTGCTCGTCACGACCTTACACGCACATGTAACTCATATAAATCAACTAAAGTTTGAAAATTAATAAAATAGAACTGATAATTTGTAACATAGGCTTTTATAATAAGCAACAACTATTATAAATAAATATATAAGTAAGAACAACGTGGAATGCCATCTCAGTTTGATCGTGCACTGACCTTGGCCTTGCCAGTGCAAAAGAGATGCAGTATTTTTCAAGGTTAATTATGCATTTTCAATAAGATATTGCCAACACATGCAATTGCAATATTAATACTGTCTTTTTGGGATTTTACATCAAGCGCGGTATTTTTAATTGATTTCTTATCGACTATCGATATTTGTGCTTTGATTTTTGCATGTCGCTTTTATTGTACGTTTCTGACGCCGCGATGACAAACGAGAACGAAGAGAGAATGGAGAAAACGTTCGCGCGTGTGCTAATGGCAAAAGCGAATTGTGATCAGTTTGCAATGAATATAAATAAAGTTCAAGTGATACGTAAACCTAATTAATATAATGATTATACAAAGTGCAGTTTAAGTGTGTGTGTGTGTGTGTGAACATGCGGGAGCCGCTTCAAGCCTGCAAAAGACATTGGCCACAGCCCGTCAGGCTGGCTGCAGAACAAAATGCGAGGCGGCGCCGGCTCAGAACATTGTTGCCATGTTTGTGCAGTGCGTGTGGCGTGCGGCTTGTGGCGCTTTGCGTGTTTCGTGTTCATGTGCCGGGCAGCATCCCCAAAACGATAGAGTAAGCGAGCGGTGCGGGAGGGGGGGCAAACATGCCAAGTCGTAGCGTTGAAAATCTTAACGTGATTTAAGCATCGTGACATTGCCGGCAACTAAACTGAAACGAAGGCGGGCGCAATGCCAACGTCGCTGACAGCACAGTCAGCGCAGACAAATGGTTGCGCGGGGGCGAAGTGGTCGTGCGGGGATGTGGCGCGCGGGACAGTTGCTGTCCGCACAATTGGCACGTAGCTGCCAGCATGTCGCTGCATAAGCCCGTGCGTGTGTATGTGTGTGTGATCAGTTTTAAAGCAAAGATGGCCGCGTGACGATGTTTTTTTTTTCTTTCTCTCTCATTCTAATGCGAGCGCGAACTAGACGACACGCACGACTTTGCAATGTTTTGCATGCCTGTTTTTTTTCTTTCAATGTGCTTTGTTATGAGTTTACGGTTACTTTTGAAGAAAATCTTTAAATTGTGCGACTAAAAATAAAGAAAAATTAATTCAAATTCACATTCTGCCAATTTTTTAAAATATTTTTTTTCGTGAAGAAATATTTTTGTAGAAAAATTTGTATTATTAATATTCAGCTAACTGTGTCTAATTGTGATAACATGCAAAAGATTTAAGTTTTTTCAAGACGTACATAACATGCCAAGACGTGTTTATTCGTGTCACGACACGCGCTTGACTCCAGTGGAAAGTGCCTTGCGTCGCGGCGTTTCTCTCATATTTTGACAAAACTCAACCAACTGCTTCAGTGCCTCCTAATCAGCAGCGTTCCACGTTGCGGCACGCTGACTTTGATGTACTTGCTATTTAAGTGCATAAGCGTCCAAAGAGCACGAAAGAGGGCGAGAGTGAGAGAGCGAGTGAGTGGGAGAGAGAGCGCGGCATGGCTGAAACAGAATGGAGCCTTCGCTCACACGTGACACAAATGGGTAATTGCTCTTTGACTATGGCCTAAAATGTGGGCCGCTCTGTGGTAATGGTTTCTCTCGCCCCCCATTCCCCTTCGAGCACCAACGAACTTTAAACTTTAATTCAATCAGATGTTGTTGCACATAACCGCAAAATGGCTGAGCAAAGCTCTAGTACGGCATTTTTTTTTTACAGTAGCTTCTCAAATATTGAACTACCAGAAATATACTTTGACAGGAACTTTAATTGTTATTTTTGAGTGAATTTCAGAATTTCTATTTAGGAATAAAATATTTTTTTTTCAATTAGAATATGATATTAATTAATAATGCATTTTGTTTTTATGGTTTTTTGAATTTTAGATAGCGAGTGATTACTGTATTTAAATGAAATATGTTTTTCACTTTCGAGTAATTCACAATGTGTTTGCAATTAATTTAATTATGTGTGTGCACAGAAGCAATGTTAATTGAATTAATTTATTGTTTATTTTTTCCACAATTTAAAAGCGCAAAAATAATACAAAAAAATGTAATAAAAACTGCATAATAAAGCCCGTGTCACGATCACGCACGAATAAATCACGCGTTCGGTTTAAAAATAAACAAAATTTGACACACGTTGAAAAAAGAGAACAAAACCAAAAACAACGTCGCCCAAAAATCGATGCACAAAAAGTGTGCACATCTATTTGAATATGTTTTCGGGCTCGTTTCGTATTTTTTTTTTATATTTTTTTTCTGGTGTGCCAGCAATGTGTTTCGATTTGTGTGTTGTCGCGTGAAAAAAATTCGTTGACAGCCGTGAAAATCTTCAAAAATGTGCAAGTGTATACGTAAAAAGTCTGGCTAGAATGAGATATGAAAAACTGCGGTTCTATGTGATATTTTTGAAGTGCTCCAAAAAGAACTCGCTGAGAAGTTGAGCGTTAGCTTACAGCTGTTGCAAGGTAAGTGAAGAACGCTTCCACTTAAATGTGCGGAAAATACGTGATTTCCTAATGTAACTCATTAAAATCCCCAAATTATTGCAAACTCAAGCCAATTGCAAACTTTGTGCAAACTTCTGTAGAGCTAAGCTTGTGGGTTAAGTGTTAGCCATTATCATATTTGCATAGTTTGGCCGCACTGCGAGACGTGTCCTGTGTCCTGTGTGCTACAATTGTCATTTCGGTGCTGTTATCCTAACCCTATCGGGGGCAATGCAACTCATCCATGCGAATTGTGTTAAACAATTTGTTGGCCATGTTCTGGTTGTTGCTGCAGGCGCAAACTGATTTAACTTATCGCGCTTGCCACGCGCCAGTCATGTGAAAACAAGCGAGCGACAACAACAACACCTTGTTGCAGGGACACACACGCACACACACATGCACGCACACGCAGTTAGACTCGCCATGTTACAATTACTGGCGGCAACATGTTTGTGCCACAAGTGCGGCAGACAGCGCAACAAGAGGCAAGTTTCACCCAATATTTATAATAAATATCTACTGACTGGCGCCCGTTCGGGTCCGCTATTTGGCATTTGGATTTGCGAATTTGGCTGGAAATGATTTACGACTGGCCCGGACATGCCTCTGTCCATAATCCCTTTACTCGCTTCGAGCTCCCTTTAAGTATAAATACTTTATGAGCCGATTTTCTATGAAAATATATTGACCATATCTTTCAGAGATTTATTTGTGCTTTAAAGTTTCGGAGAATTGTGCACTTGGGTCTGTTCGACTAGAAAATACGCTGTACTTGCACGTTAATTCATCAATTACTAGTTAATTAATTGTCCAATTGTTAAATATTTGGCTGATCTTCATATGGACATGTGCACGTAGCAAAAACCTTAACTATTCCTTGTGGATTTTCTATTGTTTTCGGGTAGGAAATAGGCGTCGACACAGGCTCAAAAATTGAAGGTAGAGCTCAATAATTTCAATTTATATCGATATGTGTAACGCAAGGTAGAAGACATCTCCGAACTTATCAAGTATATATATTCTAGATCAGCATCAACAGTCGAGTTGATATAACCAGGTCCCACTGTCTATCCTTTCATCTTTTGTTTCTATGCGAACTGATCTCTCAGCTAACTGTCAGCCATTGTGATGAAACTTGCAAAGGTCTCCTTTGAGTTGCAGGCATTACATAGATTTGCGGATCTGACCAATATATCATAGAATCCGATCGGTCGAAGTGTAAATTCTTGTAGGGAAAACTCTTTTGTTATCATCATCTCATCATCTCAGCATCTTGGCCAAGCTAGGCATTTTTGAATGTCCCCAAAACTATGCAACATATTCTCAACTTTGAATTTTGTATAACGCTTCTTATAGAGGATATAATAAAATCTCATGTAGATCGCGGTACAATATTAGATAGCTCTATAGGAAGAAAGGCTTAACTGTTCTCACATATATGCAAAGCCGCGAGACAAATGTCTAAAAGGGTATCGGATCTTCGGCTTTGTAAAAATATTTGACCTATTTCGTTTCAAGTTCCATTTTAAGGCATCCAAAAGCCCTTTGTTTGTCTAGTGTACAGCTGCCCTTGCACGCAAGAGTATCTTATATTCGGCTTTCTCAAGATAACTGCGATTTCTATTGTTTTACTTGTCTTCAACTCCTTCGCAAAAAAGTCCTGAGCTGCCGTCAGCTCGTGTGAAGTTTATATGCCAAAGTAAATTTTGAGCATGCTGTGCACCTATATAAGCCTCATAATTTTGTCATTTTTCAATTGAAACTCATAACATATGTAAATGTATGTGACTGGGTTGTGCACACGCACACCCACACACTCGCACACGCACTCCCACAATAAACATAAGCCTCGACGTGTGCTGCAGCTGCTTGTGTGTATTTTTCGTATTGCTAACTGGCTAAAATGCTATGCCAGACAGTCAAAAAACATAAATCTGCAACACTCGAACAACAACAACAGCAACAAAACAACTAACGAGTAAAAAAGTTGAAAATGTTCAAGTGCTCGCAGTTGCCGGGATTTCGAGTCCCAAAAAATTCGAATTCGAATAGAAATAGAAATAGAAATAGGTAACTGTTATCCGACTGTTGCCAAGTTATGTTGCTTTGCATTTTTGTGTTTGATATTTTTGTTTATTTTTTGTTTTGTTTGCTCTCTTTTAGTTTTTCGTATTTGCTGAATGCTCGATAGTCATAAATATGCCACAAAGGCAACAACAAATTTTTACTGAATTTATTTCGTATATTTCTATTTTTGCACTCGCTTTTTATACCCTATAGTCATGCCCCGAACTCACAAAACTATGCAGAGTGTATGTGCACTTGATCGGGACAATGAGCTGGGTATATTGCCCTTCAGATTTGTGTCGATTTTCAGAGGGCCTACGAGTTGAGACTTTAATGCTTTAATAATTGATTTTATAAACAACCAAAAAATTAAAAATATAATATAATAATAATAACAAAAATAATAATAATAATGAATAATAATAATAATGAATAAGAATAATAATGAATAATAATAATAATGAATAATAATAATAATAAAAATAAAATTAATGATGACAATGACAATGACAATGAAAATGAAAATGAAAATGACAATGCCAATTACAATGACAATGACAATGACAATGACAATGACAATGACAATGGCAATGACAATAATGATAAAATTATAAATGAGAACAACAATGATAATAATAATAGTATAAATGAGAAAAATAATGATAATAGAAATGAAAACAAAAACAGTAATAATAATAATAATACAAACCGGGGTTCGGGGCTGATTAGAGGGTATTTCATTGTTGGGCTCTTGCGACCGAGAGCGCACTTGCCTTTTTTTGGTTAGTATCCGCTTTATTCCGTCTGTGTCTTAGTTAACCCGCCCCTGACTTTAGATAGGTAATAAAAAATGGCTGAACATAGAACGCGAAAAATATAAAAAATACGACTAATAACAATGTCTTTGTGTTTGAGGCTCGGCCACGCCCACACAATTTTATCGCGCACACCGAAAAAATTGTGAAATGCGACTTGGAAGGCAACAAAAACCAAATGGAAAAAAGGCCAACGTCCTGGCAATGTCCTGGCAAATCCACTGTCCAGCTAACAGGCAAGTTTGCCCTGTTGTTGTAATCAGCAATGTTGTTGTTGTTGTTGTTGTAGTTGTCCTTGCTGAAGCAATAGCAACCGCAAAAGCCGCAGACAAACAGTTTGTTGGCCTGCGGCTTGGCTTTCGGGTGGCATTGAGGCATAGCGGGCGTGTCCAAGCGGCCAAGTTAACGTGCATTCGGTTTATGAATACAGTTTTGACTGCAAGCGTTCATTCGCAAAAATGCAAACCCCTCGCCCAACGTCTAGAGTTGTGGCTCCACAAACACACGAACACACGAACTGAACTACAATTGCAAGACTTCTATTTAACGCAATTTTTCCATCAATTTATTCACTTCCTCTTGCTGCTGACCGTTGCCCATGAAAATGGGCATCTCTCAAGTTTTTTATTTCATATTGTTTGTTTGGGGCTACGCAAAATTTTAATTGCCTAACTGTTTTGATACTCGAAAATTTTGTTTATTTTCGTTTAATTTGGCAAAAGTTAAACAAATGCTGCCATTTTTTTCACGTTAAAGTTCAACAAATTTTCAATATTATTAATTGGTTATTAGTTTGCAAATGGAGTCTTTGAATTTTGCAGAAATTTTTACAATCGACTTTTGCTAATATCAGTCCATTAGTCAGTCAATCAGCCAGTTAGTCAGCCAGTCAATCAGTCAGTCAGTCACTCAGTATGTCAGCCACTTAGTCAATCAGCCACTTAGTCAGTCAATCAGCCAGTTAGTCAATCAATCAGTCGGCCAGTCACCAAGCTCGTCAGTCAGCCAGTCAATCAGTTAGTCAGTCAATCAGTTAGTCAGCCAATCAGTCAGTCAGCCAGTAAGTAAGTTAGTCAGTCAATCAGTCAGCTAATCATTCACTCAGTCAAACCTTTTTGTATATAGAAATAATTGGAATATATTTGGGGTCCATTTACACATTTTCATTTTCATTTACATTATGTGAAAGGGAGGGGTGTGCTGCTCCCCTTCCCCCTCACAAGTGCAGCCCCTTCGTGTCGTTAGTTTGGCTTTATTGATATGTAAATATCGCACACTTATGCACAGAAAACTCAATTCTTAACATTTTCTTTTTTTATATTCTTTCACATGCTCTGAAAATGCTGCGCACGTCGCGCAATTATGGCTCTAATATGCACTTGACAATGTAATGACATTTATTGAGCGGCATCTTCTGCTGCTGCTGCTGCTTCTTCAGCTTCTTCTCCATCAGCTGCGAGGCGAGTCGCGAGACGATTGTGAAGTCCTTCAGCTAGCGGATGCTGATTGAAAGTGTCAGCAGCGTGACAAGGGGTCTGGGGTCTGGGGTCTGGGATCTGGGGTGTGGCGGCATCTGCAGCAGACGCTATCGAAATGTGAAAGTATTTCGTTGCGCCTTGGAGCGCTGAATAGCGTTAATTCCATGCTGCTGACATGGCAATTGACAAGTGTCGGCCCTGGGAAGCGAATGTCGGTCTGTCGTGTCTGCGGTCTGTAATATTTGTCAATACGGCACAAAAGCGCGCCATTTATTAATCAAGCCATGTGGAAGCCAATCAAAAGTGGAGCCGAAGCCGTTGCGGTGTCTGATTGCCAGCTCTTCTCTCATGTCACAAAAGCTCTGCCACCAGCAATGCCCATCCAATGCTCAAACAATTCACCAATTCGAGATGTGCGCGTGACACGATGTTTTCGTGTTCAAAACCACAAAATAACACTCAACATATGAGTGAAATTTAATTTCAAATTCGTCGTATTTAAGTTCAAATGTAGGAAAAATATATTTTAAAGTTTTTAAACAACATTAAGGAAAAAGATTGTAGCACGGTCATACGTGTCGTAAAGTGTTTCGTGTTTGTTTCTAAACTGTGCTTC